GGCCTAAAGCACCAGAGCAGAGCTTTAAGATCTGTAATTGCCTGTGTCATCTCGTTTTGGGGTGGAAGCTGTACAACAGCACACCTGATAATATAGAGGGGAAAATGCTGTCTGACAAGATGACTGCAGCAGTTGTGAAGTCAATCAGCTTCAACGCTAGCATCTGTCATGCCCCTTGCCTCGATTCGGCTGCCTTCTACTTGTGGCTTGCTCTGTAATTACTGAGCACCATGGCACTTTCTCCACTTGGCCTTCAGCTTAGAGTAGAGGATGAAAAAGTTTTCTGGAACGCAAGGTCAATATTGTACATCCTTTTAAGTGTGCGATAGAGACCAAATTTGCCAGTTTTCCGTAGCTTCTATAAAATTCATCATCATGCATTCAGAAAGCACTCACATTATCTGCATTGCCAGATATAAAAGCATTAATGTCTCCACTCTACAGATTGAAGGAAGCATGCTTGAGGCCACACAGGGAATCAGTGGTGAAGAGATTACCACTCATGATTATTACTGAATTATAATTTATATCTCCCATATGACCTGAATAGTTAGCCACAATTTAAAATTAGGCAGTTTCCATTGAGGGAAAAATGCAATAGCAGTATCAAATATCTTTCTACTAAGTAGCTTTTCGATACCATCCTGTTATTAGTAAGAATGCAGGCGAAGTCCTGTTTCTCTGAACAAGGGAAAACAATCTCCATCGCTTCAAAAACATTTAATTTTTAAGCATTTCATCCAGAAACATTCCCCAGCTTGGTCTCAAGACCAGATTGACAGAAAGTCACGGGTGCATTTTTTGACTTCTCTGGTACCCCACTTTCTTCTCCAGGTCATGTGTACATCCCATTTCTGCTGCAGATATGCCAAGTACCCACCATTCTCATTGATTTCTTTTACCGTTTTTGGTGTTCAGCATTGGCATATCGAATAAAACATTCAGAAAATGAGGAGCAATTAGCAAAGGCTGATAAGTGAAACTCAGATACTCTGGCTTAATACTGCATGTAATGAAGAGTTATCATGGTGTCTAAAAGGCTGGTGTGGGGAGGGGGGAGGGCGCTAGGCAAGATATCTAAAAAAAATAAGTCAGATGACTACCCAGTACACCCACATGTACCATAATTAGCTGATCTATTTCAGTGGTCTGAACCAGCCCAGTTTAGAATATTTCATTTCAATTGATTGAATATGTTTAATAAACATGATCTTAATATGTTAGTTTGTGTCTAATTTAAAGAATTTGGCGAAAAGATCTATGATCATATAAAGATTAATCCTCTTTTCATTTTTTTTTTTTTTCCTGAAAGAAGCTTGCTGCACAGCAAACAGTTTTTTTCTCTGCTTCTTCACTTCCTACCAAATTCAGTGGGATGTGGACATGTGCTTAAGTGCTTTGCTAAATCATGGCATAACACTATCAAACCTGACACATGGCCATAAACCACAGTGTCCTCTTTCAAAAATCGCTTTAAATAAAACAGGCTGAGAATGTCTTCAGATACATTAAAATAAGGAAGCCAACTAAATGAGAGGGTAAAGAATATTCAGTTCAAAATAGTCCTCCTGAAGTACTGTATTTTTACAGACAAAGCCAGTACAGGCCCTTTGTTCTTGAGTTTAGACTTTTGATAGCCCCTTCTTTTTTAATGCAGTATAGACTTTGGTTCGAAGAAGGAACTTAATGTGAAAAACAATCTGTGCTTCTATTTTTACACAATTATTTACAAGTAATGAAACTTTGTTCCTCTCTACTCCTGAGACTTAAATGATGGTTTCTTTGCCAAGAAAAGACTTTGTCAACAGACAGTAATTTCCAGAGATGCTCTCAGTTCTTCCAGCTCTACTGCAGTTCTGTCAGTGACAGCAACATTCAGATTTGTCACAATTCTGTCTTCATTTCAAGAGGACATGGCCCTCAAGCAGTGCAACAAGGCTGCTACCAGAGCAGGTTAAGAACAACTACAAAACAGACTTCCACTTGTTAGTCACCTCTGTTTTTCTGAGCAAAACCTGCAATATTTCCTTCTTTTAACCTCACACACACACAAACATCCGCCAAGGGAGGAGAAGAGAGATGAAAATAAAGATCAAGGGTTTTCCTGAAAGTTTCAGAGTTTGGGTATTCATAGTTTGGGTATTTAAAATTCTCAGTTTTCAGAAGTTCATTTCCTGCTTTGTGCCGGAATGCAGTAAAGTAAATGACTGGCCAAAATCTACCTTCCACCCTTATATCTTCCATTTTCCTATTCTGCAACCTCCCCAAAAATGCTCCATGTCACATAAGTCAGTTTCTGAGAACCATGTTCGGGTACAATAACATTTTTATACAGATAAGCAGTTTTTCTACTGACATGTTGTTTTCATTAGTCTGAGTCTCCAAGACTTTCCCCTTTTTCCAATAGTCCAAACTTGCTTTCTGCTCAAAAGCAAGGGAGGGGAAGTATTTTTGATCCTGAATATAAATGTTAAAAGTCACTTAAAGAGAGATTCTCAACGACTGTCTTTTTTGATAGAAAAAACACAATCAAGCCAATAAAAACAATTAAAATCATCTTTTATTTCTGAGACTGTCGGAAGCATAAAAAATTATTAGATGTGTCCCTGGTGAAAAAAATAAAAATAAAAAGGTTGCAGAGGTAGATTTTAGTGGAAATTACTTCAATATATGTGAAGAAATAGAATGATGGAGTAGCTAGTACAACAAGTGATAAAATAAGTCCATTTAATTCTTTATATGAAATATACATGGAATTGCTCAATGTGCTACACAGTAAGTTCAACAATGTGAAGTAACTCAGATTCAGCTGGTACACACATCTCCCTCTAAATACACATCCAAGTGCAATATTATATTAATTATATTATATTATATTATTATTATATATTATCACCATCTCTCAAATTAGGCCCAAAACAAGGGCTGCTGCTTATTTAGAAAAAGAACGTTCACTACATCGTTGCTGGCAGTGTTATTAAAATTTACAGAGAGGGAGTTAATCACCTAAAATCCTAAATTAGAAAAAGATACTGAAGCACTTTGTTAACATTACCTATTTTATATCCTCAGACTTGCCAGTATAACAATGTTATTGCAGTATGGAAAGCATATGTAAATGAGTTACTATAATCTTTAATTACATATGCAGCGTTACAGCGTGACACATACAGGCTTCATCTGCGTATTTCCTGTTTTTTCAGTTCCTAAATATCAACTCGCCTTATTACTGTACACATACGAGCGCAGTTTACAACGCCAAGCACCCGTAGCCTGCCTTGGCCGTGATACAAAACTCTTTTCGCGTTGCGATTTTTCGTTAATCTTTCAAAATTTTAATTGTGCTCGCTGCTATTTGAATGCCCTGTAGATTGTGTTCCCTGCCTGGGATTACGGATGCCAAGTCCAGCCCGGCTCCCTGTGTGCTCTGCTGCCATACAAAGTGTTGCAGCTGCAGGACAATAGTAATAGGCACAACAATTAGCCCATTCTCTGCAACTATTTGCTTAGCCCTTTCCGCCCTAATATCAGCGGGTGATATGTGCTTGCTCATAGCCCTGCTGATGTCCTTAAGGCCCATCCTTAATAATTAACCTATTCTATATTTGGGCTGTGTCAAAGGAAGCATCGGTGATGTCAAGTGGAGACCACGGTTTTTGGCGAGGATGAAGAGAAAGAGGTCTCCCCACGGAGCTCCCTGGGGACCAGCCCCGCTGCACCACGCAGCCCACGGATCCCAGTGGTGCTTTGCTGCTGTCCGGGGCATTTGGGGGCTTTACACCCTCATAAAGCAAGGTGTGGGGGAAAAAAAGGCTTCAGGAGCCGAGGGTTCCCAAGAAAAGGCATTCATGCAGCCGTGTTGGATTTTATGCAGGATTACAGTAGTCACACCAGCTAAAGTTGTTTGTGCGAGGTGATTTCATGCCATAGGAGAACTGTGGTCTGTACTGAGGTGAGGCACACGAGTTATGGACAGTCCTAGCTAAGAAGGTGACAGCATCCCACTGGCCTTCCCACATTTACTTTAATTACCAACAGTTAACTTCTGTAGCTTTTATCCGAGGAAAACTGCCCCTGTGGAGTGGATCCATTTCTATACATACATTTGCTCACTTTTCTCTGGCCTTTTATTAGAATTTGCATCTCTTTCTTTCTTCCTTTCCTTTATTTTTCTTTCCATGAAAGCTAGAAGAAATGGTCATTCCTGAGATATTCATCTACACTTCGAAAAGCATTTCCTTTGGCTGAGCTGAATTCAGATTTTGTCAACAAAATTCCACTTCACTGAGTCACAATTGTGATTTTTTCCCCATTAGCACCCATTTTCATAACACGTAGGCACAGTACAAGAAGAAAGAGTAAAGCAACTGCAGCGGGCCGTAACCGATTCAGAGTGAGCCGTGAAGTGTGCAGTGCTGTACCAAAGCCAAGCACCACCTCGAGTGTCAGATCGTTCAGGAGCTCGAAATTGGCCAAGAACAATTCAAAACACAATGACAGAAAACTACAGAAAGTTACATCTACTTCCAGAATATCTTCAGAGAGGTGAGGCAGGTTTATAATTAAGCCGCACGGACTTACGACACGGACAAAAAAAAAAAAACAAACAAGTTTTAACTGTGACAAACTCTTTCATTCCAATTAAAAGTGTTTTTACATGAGACTGCAAGGCCCCAGTGCTCAAGAATTTATTTTTTTACTGGTACTGAGCAATTCCTAACAAGCAAAGCTCTGTGGCAAAGAAAAAAAAATAATAAAAAAAATAAATCAAGGTGCTAAATTTTCCATAACTTTGAGAGTAAATGCCTGTAATGATGCTACACGTTACTCCTCCTCATACAGACAGCCTAGGAGTAGATTTTGCTTCTGCTCCTCAGCTCCTCAGCTCTCGTGTTGCCCAACGTGGCTCGGAGTAGGGCGGATGAAATGCAGAGCGAGACGTCAGCAGGTAGCCTCCACCCACTGCATGGAGATGGTATCGCACACGAAGCGCTCGCATCTTTTTTTTTTTTTTTTTTTTCCTAATCTCTATTTTTAAAGAATCACTTTAGTCCTGGGAACGCTGTAAATAAAGCCGGGTCCCAGCAGCAAGTAGAGTTCATTTCAGATGGCTCTTAGGAAAACAACAGAGCTAATTATACTATAGTAATTACCTGAAAATTATATGTATGCTGTTTTTCCACCAGTCGATACTGCTATTTTTGAACTTTGCATTGTTCTCATGGATTGCTGGAGTCATGCTGTCTCTAAACGGTCTTCTCATCATTAGCTTAGCCTCTGGTTTGGGGAGAGTGCTTTAGAAGCGCAGCTGCACCGTGTGCTATTTAGCCCAGATCTTTTACGCTTAGCTGCACTCTTCACCTCTATACACCCTCACCTGTGCTGTGTTTGAGAAAATATTCCCATTTTAACTGTCTTTTGGGTATGGATTATAAAATCCAGCACTACAACAGGGCGCTGAAACAGCCTCCAATTTAGATTTACTCCTGCAAGCTAGGAGATGTGGACACGTGTCCCCAATCTGTCCCTCCAAGCAGCCCCTTTGTCCCCACGCGCACAAGGCAGGTAGGTGGGTGCCAGGACTCCCAGCAAACCTCACCCTGGCCCACTGTGTGCGATGAACAACTGCGATCATTCTGACTTTGCAGAGTCTCATTTCCTCTCCCATCCTGGGTGGGGCATGTTATTGTTGTCTATTTTTTTTGTTTTAAGAGCAACCACTGCAAGCACCTGACAAAGGAAGGCGAGCGCCGCGGGTGAGTGTCGCACCACACTCCCCAGAAGGGAATGTGGTCTAGCAGCAAGGGCAGGAGAATGGGAATCAGGGATCGTTGGCTCCTTCCCAAATAGATTCCTGCCATACGACCCGATTTTGACCAAGTAAAATGCGCTCAGAAGGACTCCTTTATGAAATGGGGATGATGATAATAAATATCTCCCGGGACTGTTGGGAGAAAATTTATTAGCACTTGGAAAGTACTTTGAGATTCTTGGATGAAAGATGATGGAGCTGGAATGCTGGCAACATTAAAATAAATTGGAATAATCTTAATGTTTATTGCATACAGTGCTTTCATCTTCAAAGTTCTTTACTAGCATGAGTGAATTAACAAAGAAAAATATTAATAAAGATCATATTTACTCATAAAATTATTCTCCTGGTGCATATATAAATAGATCTGCCTCCAGTTAAAAAATATTATTAGGAGAAAACCCAAGCACCAACTCCAGCATTGTGCACTAAATCCCTAGTGGTGCTGTCCATAGCAAGCCTACTTAGAAGTATGAATTATTAGTTTGTACTTTTAAGGAGGATAATTGGACCCTGAGTCTAATCCAGCAGCAACAAAGTCACTGGGAGTTTATCACCAACTTCCAGGGAAAAAATCAGGACTGAGGAAGAAGGAAGAGCCCTGGTTAGAAGACACCTCTGCTGTGCCAGGGAGGTTTGTGCAAGGCTGTAGTGAGCAGGCAAAGGCATTTCTCACTGCCTGACACTGCAGGAGGCTGAAACGGGGTTTGTTGTGTCTTTGGGAGAAGCCACAGATAAATCAGAAGCACGTTGTGCCACCGGGAGCGACAGGCAGCAGCCCCAGATATTTACTGTCAATGTCCAGAATTAGGGCATCCCAGACTAAACTGGCCAAACGTTGCTTGCAAGGGATTGCAGACTTTTTTTTTTTCAAGTATATTCTTACTGGCATAGACGTCACTATCACGTTATCACTGGGAAACACAGCCCAGCAATTTACTGAAAACCAGTAAATGAGACAGTCCTTCCAAGTGCATTATCTGCATTGATTTCAAACCAGTGCAGAAAGAACAGCAAGGGACGTTTCCCTCTGTGTTTCATTTTCCAGCCACCTTCCCCATCTCAGTTTCTTCAGCTGTAAATATAAATAAAAACCAGAGAAAAGGCATTCTGTTGTTATTTTCCCCCATTTATTTTGAATTAAACACATTTCCATAGGTCTCCTTTACTCCAGGAAATACAGAGTCGCTGCATTCTCCAGCATGATGTGCTCGGACACAATCCAGAACATAATGGACTATAATAGATTTTTTAAAAATCTATGGTGCACTTCATAGACTCTGGAGGTCATTTTAGGCAGCCCATCAATGCCCGATATAAATGGTTTTGTTCAGAGTGTTTTCTGCACGCCCATCAGAACTACGCACTTGCCAGATGCGTGTCCCACAAAACCAAAGCAATTCGCTATTTTCTCCAGACTTACTGTGGAAAAAAACACATTACCTGTGAAGTGCTTTGTAGCCCAGTCTCAAGACTGTATTGCTGTTATCCTCAGAGCTGGCTGAAGGCTTTACAAAGTTATTCACAGATTAAATTGTCCCAGTTAATCTGCGATGCAACGACTTCCAGGCAAAGCTTCAAATATGTCTGGGTTTGGATAGAAATCAAATGTCACCTTTGGGAAATATCCTTGTTATTAGCATTAGACATAGCTCTTGGTTCAGCCTCCAGTAACTTTGCTGAATTATAAGGGGTTTGTTAGGGTTTGTTATTGGTGTTTTGTGTGCGTGTCCGTGTGTCCTGTGCTGATGTAGCACGCTTGGACAGACACCATTTTTTTTTTATTTTTTTAAGCATTTACAGTTTCTGGTACTACCAGTGCTTTCAGAGGAATTTGCAAGCATTAACTATTTTATGCAACACCTAGCACATGGCAAGGATCCAGTTAGGAGCATATCTCCTCTCTGATGTGGTCCCACGAGGCTGGCACGCTCAGACACAGGTAGCATTTTGCAGGACAGACAAAACACACGGGCAGGAGACGGTATTCCTATTAGCAAATAGCTGCAGAAAGCAGTTTAATGACAGACAAGACTGACATCCAGACAAACAGCCAAGGTCTTTTTCTCACCATGTGATCTTTTCTTAATCCTCCATTTCTCCCCCAGATCAACAGGTTCCTCTTTATTTGTCACTGTCAGCTCTTCGCACAAAGAGCCTTTTGTCTGCGGCTCTGACCCAAACACACGAGATTTTTGTGGCCGTGCTTGGCCATATGCTTTTAAACGGACTAATGGGCTCTCGAGCTATAAAACAGGACCTTGACCCCAGGAGGGGAGGTGGTTGTGTGACAACATCGCTCTGTTTTGACATCATAATTCATCCCTGCACGACGCAGCAAAAGCACTTGAACCTGATCCTCTACCGACACCAGCGCAGGTACTGCAGTGACAGCAGCCTCCAAAGCCACAGCTCGGGGCAGAGAAGACCCCAGGCCGTCCATAGCTGCTGCTTTATTCTCTGTCTCTCGTGCCTCCTCGGGACACAGCACATGCTGCAGGAAAAACCACGCTGGCCACAGAGCTCCGCGCCCCGCTGCAGTTTGTGCGCGCTGCTCCTTCAGGTCCTGGTGCAGTGAAACGCCACGTTCTGGGGAAAGAACAGCACTTTTCCGGTCACCCTAAAAATGCACTGCTGAGGAAGAAGCCGAGAGGCAGTAAGAAGCAAGTTTTTGCAGTTTTCTGGAGCGCAGCACCACATTGTGCTCAGCCTGCCTGGGGAAGGAGGGTGCAGGGGGCTGCTGCTGGCTCCTGTGAACCTCGCCGCCGAGTTTCTGCAGCTGAACACAGCATGAGAAGAGCTCATGCCCTTTAACTGGCACTTGTTCCTGACTGTCACAGAAACCCCTTTGTTTTCCAGTGGAAACAGCTCCAGAGCCAAATTCCTACCTGTGTCTCTCGGGGTGTGTCTTTGCCCCTCTGCCACATAAACAAGCGGGGGCTTGGCTCAAGGTAAAACCTTCCTGGAGCTTCAAGGCATCTTCTTGAGGGACGTGGTGGTGTGCAGGGGAAAAGAGGAACCTGTTCCCTGCTATTGCCCTTTAATCCTTTTCCCCTTTCAGTTCTTTCACCAAAGCTTTGTGTTTAACAAATCCGTCCTCCACAGACAGGGCTGTGCACGACCCCTTGCACTCGGGAGCCACTTTCCCTTGTATTTCACAGAACTCGCAGGGTTTTGAGAGCTGACCCTCACCATTTGCCGGTGCTGCAGATGAAGGAGAAGGCAACGAGCCTCTTATCTCCCCTCAGCCTTATCAGGGCCTGGCAGCTGGGTCACGCTGGGGCAGTGCAAGGGGGAGGACGGGCAGCAAGCCCAAAGCAAAAGGTGCCGGTCAGAGAAGGGGAAACCGTGCACCAGCAGCACCTCTCTCGTTATGAACCTCTCCAGCCTCAGGGTTAGGGGCAGGCACACGGTGAGCCCTGGTCCCCGAGCTGCCACCACCTGCACAGAGCACCCCCCACACGTCTTGTGTGGCCTTCCTGACCCTGGAAGAGCTCTCAATTAAAAATCTGCCTTTCCCGTAGCATTCCGCAGTGATTTTCCCATGCAAAGCGCAGGAATAAGTGGGTGAATTTAGTATTAGGCCTAAAAAGCAGAGTTGCACAAGATCCTCTCAGTCTGATGTCTCCACCCAGCAAACTCTTTCAAAACAGTAAGTTCTCTCTTTTGGTCGAAATTTCCTCTTTTAAAGTTGGAAACCTTTCACCGAAAGGTCTTTCTTTTCACTACTAATAAAAATCAGCTATTAATGCCATTTTTCCCTCTTTCAGTTGAAGATGTCCTGCCGTTTTCTTCCATCGAGGAACAAAAACTCTTAAAACTGATACCAAGAAATAATTGGCACCTCTTAGGCAGATTGCTCAGAAATGGTCCTGCGCCCACGTCTGGGCTGCCAGGCGATGCTCAGGGTGTTCCTGGAGCAGACCAGGGGCCAAATTCTGTTTTGGGAAGCACAGTTATTGCAGAGATATCATGTCAGGGATGGTCCCGCATGGGGCCAGGTCTCGAGCTGATGTAAAAATCAGCTGTAGACAAGGCTAATAGCCAGAAAGCAAAGAGAGGATTAAAGAATAAAACATAGATCAAGCAAATATCAGCAATATCCCATGCCCTCCCTCATGCACAGCAGCAGCACAGCCTTGCCTCATGGTTTAAAGCCCTAGGGTCTGGTTTTAGGCTCCCTGAGCTGTGGGCTGCCCACGTTCAGCACACCATGTCCCCCAGCGAACAGGAGTGAATTGTCAGTGTTTATCTGGGGCCTGCTCCTCGTTATCAGCTCCGTGGAGTCGCAGAGCGTTCGTTCGCGTGCAGATGCTGCCCTGATTACAGCCCCTTATCACCGCACAGCTCCACAGCAGCACGGGGAGAGCTGAGCCCCAGACCTGTCCCCTTGGCACCGCCAGCCCTCCTTTGGTGTCCCCTGGCAGCCTCTGGGGACAGCGAGGGGCTGGAGGCCAGAGCCCCACATTCTCAGCAGGGGATTTGCTCTGTGGTGGCACCAGGCTTTCCTTCTGCTGCTTTAGGGCCTGACACAACGGGCAGCTCAGCCCTAAAAATAGGAAGATGGAGAGCCCGTATTTCACACACCCGTCTCCTCCCAAGGAGCAGGATCAGGCCCATGTACTCTCAGGGCCCTGCACAATCCAGCAGCCAGCCCACAGCTCCACCACGCCGAGACTTTGGTTGTTTAACCCACGGAAATCCACCGGGCCTCAGCCATCAACGCCAACCCCACGGCCTTCAGAGCAGCCCCCACAGCTCACCTCTGGCACCCCGCTAGGTTTGGGTGAAGCAAGGACCCTACAAAGGCTATTGCACACTGGTGTTGCTCAGGATGCTCATGCCAGTTTACCATCGGGGACACAACTCACCTGGCTCATTGAGGCTGGCCGTGCTGAAGGGAGCAGGAGCCACACGAGCAGGGCTGGAGCCTCTGCTCCCTCCCGCAGCCCTGGAGTTAACAGGCACACACACAGATTTCTTTACAAGAAACCCTGCTTGCACTTTTAGCCTTTTCGCTTTTCTTTCAAATATTTCTTTGCCCGTGGACATTTTGGGGAAAGGGAAAAAAAAAAATCCATTTAAATCAACCCCATTGTTTTCACAAAACCGAACTACAGAACGATTTCGGAACGTGGTTGTGATTTGCCACATCTGTTATTTTTATGCATTATTTTATTGCCAAGAATTTCATAAAAGGTGTTATATAACTGCGCATTGTATCACATAATTCAGCATGTTTCCACAATTAGGAGTCCACGTGAGCATTTAAGCAATGATCTTGCCCAGGGTTTTTTCTGCGAACCTTTCAGCCCAGCCAGCCCGAGATACAAAGATGAGCTGTGGCTGCGGTTTCCTCTGTTCTGCTGCAGACTACACTGCCATTTACTGACGGCCAAGTTCAGCTGTAGCACGGATCTCCTCTGCATCTGCATTTAAAAAAATAAACTTACTTTGTTTGAACCCTGTGCGCTGCTCACCAGAGCAAGCAGAGATTTTCCCCAATGTTATATGCAGCTGGATTATCTGTCTTCAAGATGTTAACAGGTCCGTTGCTTGCAGATTATTGCAAGACAAGTGTTTACCAGGTTAAAAGCAAAATAGATTTGCACTGAAAGCTACTGATGGACAGCTGGATCTAAGGCTGGAAAGACAAAGGTAGAAAATTCTGGGAGTGAAATAAAAAGCTGTATTTGCTGTTCACTTTACGAGCAGCTCTTAAAACACTTGGTGCTTCCCAGCTCCAGGTGAGTGCTCTCAGGGGAGAGGTCACTTCTGGCAGAGGATGCCCCCGCAGAGACTATCCCATGGGTGAGCAGGAGTTTGGGTCTGCCGAGCTTTGCCGTGGAAGGGACTGGGTTATTCGGACACAATCCATGCTCTTGCTGTAGGTGAACTGCTGAGAACTTTGGAAATTTCCAGCCTGGCACCGCTTTAAATGAAAATCTCCATCTTGTTCTCCTGGGTCAGATATTCTGCATGCAGTTTCTAATTTGGACCACGGCTCTGGAAAACTTGATTAGAGCTGTGAAAATGGAATTTTTATTAGGGAGAACTGAGATTTTGCCAAGGTTTATTTTTCAAGGGAGTAGGACCTAATCCTAGAAGTAGTTCCAGGGCTGTGCTATGCTGGATGCCCTTGCGATGGTTTATGGCAATTATGCAGCCAAACCTGGCCTGACTGGTAATGTTTGCTTTGGACAAGTTGCTACAGATGGCAGGCAACTGCAAATGTACTTCCCAGCCTGGTGCAGGCATCACTGAAAACGCATTTCATCTAAGCTGTTTTCCTCTTCATTTTACACATTATTAACGCATTGCCAAACCCATACTACCTAAAAACAACTAAGAATTTAGAGGCATGGAGAGAATGCAGAGTAACGTATCTGTGTTCAGACAGAAGCCTGTGAGGTGTAAGCACTGGATAGACATCTCCCCGATGGCTTTCTAAGATCAAGTTTCTGCAAAATCAAACGTGGACCCCCTCTCTAGGTGGCTGCCCTTCAGGGAATAGCACATGGGTTTCCTCCAGGGAACCCACGGGGCTTGCAGCACGGAGCAACCCTCTGGAGGGGCTTTACATCTCCGCAGCAAGCAGTAACCAGACTAAACTAAGCCATAAATCCAGGAATGCATGGGAAAAGAGCAAATTAAAACGTGCTATACTTGGCAGGTTCCTTTGCAAGCGTAGCACTCGTGAAAGGTGACATTAACGGCCCTAGCAGCTGAAGGCTGCTCTTTCTTCCAGAGCTGGGATAGCACAGGCAGGAGCAGCAAAGCCCTCCCCAAAAGTGCACTCCCTTCCTCTCCCAGGAGGGTTTTGCCTTGGGTGCAAGAGCTGCTGTGGCACTGTGAGCCCGTGTCCTCCCCACTGGCAACTCAGGAACTACCACAAGTCATCCCCAGATAGGCCAGGGGTGGGGGCAAACCTCAAGTGCCCCCACTGGGGGTTTTAGAAACTGAGCAAAATAGGAGCAACATCCCCACAGCTCTCCATGCAAGCCCCACAGCAATGCACAGTGCCCACTGCTCGTTTCCTAGGCTGGCAATTAGCACCAATTTAGCTGCAATGGGAGAGAAGCCACTGTCTGAGTCGCCCTGCTGCTGCCCCCAACTCGTGATGGGCTGGAGAGCTGGAGAGCATCCCTTCCCCAGCCCTCCCCTCCTCGGGAATCCACCCACACCAGGGCGATATCGGCTTAATTCCCACACAGAAAAATAGTGAGAATTAATTTGTTAGTGTCAAATTATGCCTTTGGAGGCGCGTGCTCACCTCGTACGGACTTCAATGAAAGCCTGGCCTTCACGTGTGCAGCCGTGGGCCCTCGGTGTCTGTGGCATGCTTTGAAGCCGGGCGGCGTTAGGAGGTGTGAGATGCCCGGAGCAGCGAGCTCAGCGCCATGGCACGCAGACAGCAAAGCAAAGCGCACACAACGGGCACAACGCGGGATGTCAGAGCCTGCAACTTCATTACAAGGCAGAGAGGAGATCAAAGGAAGGAGTTCTCAGCTTAAAAACGGGAAAATATGTTTTAAGTTTCCAGGAAACCGCAGAGTTCACTGCTACACGAGCGTAAATGTGAGATTTTGGAAGCAGCGCGGAGCTGCCATGCGCCAGCCTCTCATCCATACAACATGGAAAGCCTCGTTTGCACCCAAACCTCCACCAAGTTAATTAAAGCCATTCCTCCCTGCTTGTGGATGCTCCAGCCTGTTTACATACAGCTCACGGCCATCCTGTTCACACTTGTCCCTGACATACTTGAATTAAACCCAGAGCCCAGCCACGCACCCCCTGCACAAACCAACCCAGTTGGTTGGCCAGAGAAGAGAAGGGGAAGGAGAGGGCTTGCTACTGTCTGTTCATCCCAAATGGGAGGGTGCAGATGAGATGGAGCCTGACTCTTCTCCCAGAAGCGTGGTGAGAGGCAACTCATCAGCCCAGAGCCTGGGACAGCACTTCCTACAGCAGTAAAACTGCCCAGAAAAGGCACGCTCCAAGTCAGGCGAATCTTACAAGCACCTCTCCCATAAAGCATGCCATGCTAGCTGAAGATTAGACCGACCCATTTTCAAAACAAAAATGAACAGGTGATTATTTTTCCTCCCTGTCACCAACAGCAAATAGGAGCTGGAAATCAAAGAGCCATATATAAAAATTTAACACTTCTAAGATGCTTGCCGGCAAGTTCTTTGTACTTAATGATTAGACTTTCCAAGCAAACACGTCTTTTGATGATACAGTTGGTAGAACCTAAATAATCCAAGGAAGCAAATTAAGGATCATTTTCTTCACTTTTAACTCGAGTTAGAGTACAGCACTGTCTCTCTGACACTGTTCCACAAATCTGCTAAGAGCCTGATACCTTTACTAAAGAACAATCAGTCCTCATTTTGGGACAGAGCATCCTAGCTATCCATAGCAATACTGCTGATCCATGCCCAGCAGCAGGTCTGGGACCTCAGTTCAGCTCAGGTTTTGCCTGACACCAGGCATTTCACAGGAAAGCTGCTTTTCCCTCTCCCAGAGTGATGGGAGCTTGTGAGGGGCACAGGAGCCTCTCAGGACTGCTCCCCAGCACCACACGGACAGGAGCTTACACCCACCCACTGCTCTTTTTCCTCCCATTATTCAGAATATTTCACAATGTCACTGATGGATACCGCCCCACATCATAGCAGCAACACCCATCACCCCAAAAAAACCCCACACAGCAAGTTCCTGGGCCCCCATTCCCTTCCCTGCCCCTGGAGCTGCTTCAGGAGGGACTGGACACCTCCCTCACTGCTCACCCGGGGGGCGATGGCCCAACACTGCCCAGCCGAGCTGCTCTGCCTGCGCCCCCCAGGCCCAGGCTGCTTCTCCAAGGGGTAATTTTAGTATTTTCCACAGAGCTTTTAGTATTTTCCCCTTGGCTCAGAGCCCTGGCAGGAGCGAGCAGCAGCGCGGCGCTGGGAACGCCATCTCCTGGCGTCCTCTGCCTCCAGCCCGCGAGGCAGCCACGGCTGAGCTGACCCCACTGTGCATGGGTCAGTGGCTGAATTTGGGGACCCAAACCACATGGGGACACTTGGCTGGGCCCAGCACGTGCTCACGCCACAGCACGAACATCCTGCATCCTCTGCGGGAGCCTGAAGCAGAGAGGGGATCTATGGGGTGCTTCGCATCGCTGCTGCAGCCCTGCTCGAGAGCCTCCAGCAGCCCCCAGGTGCTCCCACCTGGGTTGGCACCCCAAAAGCTCTGAGCACCTCTCAGAACACGAGGCCAGGCTCCAGCCAGCAGCCAGGAGTTTAATGTTGGGGTCTCTGGCATTTTCACCCCCCTTCGAGAGCAGCTCATGCAAAGGGGGCTCTCAGCTCAGGGGCGACGCGGCAGCAAAACCCAGCGCAGGCGCAGCTCCGTCACTGGGAGCCACCACGTCTGCTTGCCTCCAAACAAACAGCACAAGAGGGAAATGGCATATGGGGAGAAGCCTTGGCGAGGCTGGAGGTCTGGTGATCAGCTCCTCGGAGCTGCTCCGCCACTGGCCTGAAAGAACAACTCCATCAGCTGCAGCAAGCAGACCTTCTGCTTCCCCCAATTCAGAATTCATCACGGGCTCAAATACAGACACTCCAGGCTTTTTCCTGCTTTAATTATTTAAAAATCCTAACTCTGACTGTTTATTTTCATGGACTGCTACTGCATTCAATTATTTTAAGACCAAAAAAAAAAAAATATTTGAAGCCTCTCCCTCATTCTGCTGCTGAAGTTTAATTCACTCTAATTATTTCATATTACTTAGACTATAATAGTTTCATAATTTCTAGTATATTAAGCACTTAATACGTTGTGTCATTTGAAGTCGCATATTAAATTCAGCAAAGTACATTTTAATGAGAGCTAAGTAGTGTGAAAATATTAATACAAGGCAAGAGTTGATTTTTGCACCCACGCTGGTAGGCGCCGGTGCCACACGCAGCGTGCGGGGCAGGTGAGTGCCGGGGAGCAGCAGGGACACGGCCCCGGGTGCCTGGAGCTGGGAAAAGGGGAGCGGGGACAGGATGGGGCCCTTCCATCACCCCTCTCTGGGACCCCATAGAGGAGCCCATGGGGGTGCTGCAGCACACTTCGCCCCGCAGCAAGGGATGGGATCTGGGGTGAGATCCTGCGTGGTTCCCCCAGGGTCACCCCGTGCCACTTCCAGCCCCCAGGGGAGCAGCAAACCCCAGGGAGCAGCAGCAGAAGCACTCGAGGAAAGTCTCAGCTGCCCCCCCCTGCAAGCTCCCGAGGCCCAACCACCCCATCCCCACGAGGCACCAACCTCTCAGCATGCAGAGCCCGGCTCTAACTTTCTATTTACTTCTTTACCGGAGCCTCCCCAGCCTGAGCACCCCAGCAGGACCCCCCTCCCCGCAACCCCCCCACGAGAAATCCCACCGGGGTCACGCACCGCAGGCACCTGCTTGGCTCTGTCCCAGGAGAAATCCTCGCAGAGCTCCTCAAAACCTCACTGGCACCCCAAAAGGAGCCCAGGGGAAGCAGCCACCCCCTCGACCCCCGGTTTTTATCCGCGACCACCGCCCCCACCCAGGTGATGCCGGGCAGGTGCAGGGGCACCGCAGCCCCCCCCGTCCCTATCCTAGCCCAGCTCTGCCCGGTTCATCTCGGTTCAGCCCCGGACCCGGCTCCTTTTGCCCCATCCCCTCCCGTCCCTTTAGTGGGGAGAGCCCCGGGCCCCCCTCGAAGCCCCCTGCCCACCGGGGGGGGCTGCACCGCCGGCTCTGCCCACGCGGTGGCGACGCAGCCCCGCGGAACCCGGGATGCTTTAATGAGCATCAGCCGCTAATTGCGGCAGCTCCGCAAGGCGCAGCTCACACCCCCCCGAGCACCCCCTGACCCCCCCATACACACACCCCAAGCCCCGTCGGTTCCCCCACCCCCGACCCCGATCCCCCCCGGGGATGCTCCCGGTACCGCAGCCCGGGGGCGCCGCAGGACCCCGGCTCGCAGCCCCTCTACCCCGGGCCGACCCCCGACCCCCTGCCGCCCGTGGGGGGGGGCGCCGTGCTAGGTTAATCCTGGGCTGGAACCAGGTATTTCGGGCTAATAGGTGTGCGAGCCCCCCCCCAGCCCGCTCCCGGAGCTCATTAACGTAATACTTTCATGTGTGAAACGAGCATATAAATGGGCATTAATGAGCTCCCGGCTGCGGCGCGGAGGAGGAGGGGGAGCGGGGAACCTGGCGGGGGAGCGGGCGGCCCCCCCCGCGGCTGCTGGACCCCCCCAGGGCCCGGGAGGGCACCGCCGAAACCCCCGGGGTGCGCGCCCCGACGGGGCGGCCCCGGCCGCATCCTGCGCAGCGGGGCCACCACGAGCCCCCCCCCCCGCCCCATGTCCGCGGGGACCCCACGGCCACGACCCCCCCGGGGCCAGCCCCACGGAGCAGGCGGCTTCTTAAAGTCGGCTTTTATTAAAGAACCAAAATCGCGTACAGAGGTGCCTCTCCCTCGAGCGGGCGAGCGCGGTGGTGTCTCTGTCTGCGGAGTCGCGAACCGCCCGTTAAAGTGCTGTTACATCCATAAATGTACGGGGGGGGGGTGAGGGGAGGAAGGAAGGGAAGGGGGGGGCTCGGGGGGAAATAAATATACATCATAAATAAATAAAAATCCAACAAATACTGTACCAAGAGAATCACAGTACATTTATATCCATTGCACATAGCCACTTTTGTTTCCAGTCTGGACGAGGGTGGAAGAAGCGGACACACAGGGAGGGAGGGGAAGACGCGGAGCGGGGGGGGGGTCCCGGGGGGGCGCGGGGGAGGGACGGGGGGGACACGGTGCCTTCCCCCCCCCGCCGTCCCGGGGCTTCTCCCCGCCGTATTGCCAGTCCGAGAGGGCCGAGCTCCGAGTCCTCTATGTACAAGTGTCTCCTCGTGGAAATGGCTTGTGTGGGCTCTGCCCTCGGCTGCAGCGCGCCGCAGGGCGCATGGCTTCGGGGTGGGGGGGGGGGGGGGGTCCGGGGGTCGAGAGGGGGGGCTCACTGGGGCAGCAGCGGCGGCTTGAAGGAGCAGTTCCCCGTGCAGTGCCGCGGGGTCAGCATTTTGCAGGAGAAGTGGTGCAGCGCGTCGTGGGCCTCTGCAAAGCGACAACGCCGTCAGCCCCACCGCCGGGGTAGAGGGTGGGGGGTCAGGGGGGGTCGCTCCCCCTTTCTTAGACGGCTGTGCCCCCCCCCCCGTCCTGCCCCCCGGTACCTTTCAACTTCTGCTGGATGGCGTAGCGAGCTTTCCTCTCCTGGTCCAGCTCGTTGCACAGCGTATCTGGGGGGGGGGAAGCATCACAACGGGGCTGGGGGCACCGGGGTGCGACCGCCCCGTCGGGGGTCCGGGTTGCAGCGGCCGGGGGGACGGCGCGGAGGAGGGAGCGGGGGGGGGGGGACCCGGCCGAGCACCGCTCCCGGCTGATTTTGCGGCTCGGATTTTAATTTTTGCAATTTTTTTTTTTTTTTTTTTCCGGGAGGGAAATCGCTGCCTTCGGAAGGGTCGCAGCGTAACGATGCCTCCTCGCAGCTCGCGCTGCCGAGGGGATCAGAGCGCACGGAAGGACGCGGAGTAAACCAAAAATAGGCGTAAATTAAAAAAAAAAAAAAAAGGGTAAAAAAAAAAAATACCTCGGACGATCTGGAGCTGCTGCACCATCTCCTCGCGGTACGCCAGCTCCCGTTTCATCTGGTCCTGGAAGTTGTCTGCGGGGCAGGGGGGGTCAGCGCCGCCCGCCCCCGGCCCGGCTCCCGCTGCCCGGCGCGAGGCGGGCGGGGGGACAGCGAGGGGGGCTCGCCGGTACCTTTCAGGCTCTGGAAGTCCCTCTCCAGCTTCTTCCTCAGCTCCATTTGCTCCAGGACCAGTTTTTGCAACTCGTCTGTTTAAAAATACATGGCGGGGTCGGGGGCAGCCCGCGCCTTCCCAGATGGAGGCGGCTCAGCGCGGCGCTAATCGCATTACGTTACATTAATCACAGGAGTTAATCACTCCTGCCGAAAACCTAAATACCTCGAGCCGCGAGGAGACGCCGGGGGGTCCCTCCTGCCCGGCCCCGGCCCGGCGGGAGGGGGCAAAAGGAGCCGTCGGGGCGCGGAGCTCCGCGGAGCGGCCGCTCCCCCCCCCATCCCACCCCGTCGGGGGCCGCCCCCCGCCTCACCTCGGGCCAAGTTTTCGATGTCCTTTTCCACCAGCTGCGTCCCCGCCACGTCCATGCCGAGGCCGTCCTCTCCTGCGGGGTCGGGGGCGCGCACGGGGTCAGCGCCGCCGCCGTCGGGGGAGCCGCGGCCGCGCAGAGCCCCGCGGAGGGGCCGGCGCTTACCTCTGTCGGTATTTACAGGGCTGGGATGCGAGACGTTCCTTTGGTCCTGATAGGATTTTCTGGTCTCTAAATCCTCTGCCGTCGAGTGATTGTCTTCTTTATCTTGCTCTTAAAGTTAATAAACCGCTTTTCAACCATAAGCAACGAAAGTACGGTCCTGATATATCCTTAATTACATAATTAAGGACAAAGCCCTCGTTAAAGCCTTCTTAGCGGACATCCTAATCGCTTTGCCGCTGGAAAGTAGCTTGCTGCCGGGAGCTTGGCCCCACCGCGCAGCGCGGCCCCGCAGCCGCCCGCAGCCCGCCCGTCCCACGCCGCCGGCGGGGGCATCCCCGGGCCCGGCGGGGGCCTCGCCCCGACCCCTCTCCAGAAACCGTTTGCTTTCGCTCTTCAACCCCAAACCCCCCAAAACGAAAGCGGCGGCCGGGGCGCCCCCCCGGGGCCGAGCGGCGGGGGGAGGCGGCACCCAGGGCCGCGCCGTCGATGGGCACCGCGCCGCCGCCCCCCCGGGGCCCCGGCCGGGCGCCCCCCAGCCCCCGCGGCGAGCTTTACCCTTGGCCTCGGGGGTGCACAGGTAAGCGGCCGAGGCTCCCAGGGAGGCGGCGGTCTTCAGCGGCTGCAGGTGCTGCTCCCCCCGCTCCGGCGCGTACACCTACAAAAAAGCGAGTCAGGGCCGGGGGGGGGGGAGGCGGGCAGAGCCCCCCCCTCCCCGGGGCAGAGTCCGCTGGGCCCCGCACCTCGTAGGCGCTGCCGCTGCTGCTCCGCTCGGGGCTGCCGTCGGGGGGCTGGCCGCCCTCCTCCGCCGCCGCCTCGCCCGCTTTCTCCTCGGGCCCGTCGGTGGCGGCGGGCAGCGGCTCCTCGGGCCCGGCCAGCAGCCGGGGCGGCGGCGGCTCCCGCTCCTCCGGGGCCGCGGCGGAGGCGGCGGCGGCAGCGTCCTCGTCGTCGTCGTCGGGGAAGCGGTTGGACTCCACGTCCACCTCGGGCTCCTCGGCCGTGTCCCCCCCGGGGGAGAGCGAGCGGTAGCTGGAGCTGCCCTCGCTGAGGAAGTCCGGGGAGAGGTAACCGGGCCCGCGGGCGGCCCCGCCGCCGCCGCCGCCGTACGCCTCGCGGGTGCCGTAGAGCTTGGCGATGCTCTCGGTGTCCTTCACCACCGGGCGGAAGGCGGACAGGTAGCTGCCCTTCCTGGGCAGGGGCAGCGGGCCGAGCAGCGCCTCGTCCCCGGAGCGCTCCTCCTCGCCGGCCGCCCTCGACAGGGCGCTGGAGCAGCGCTCGCCGTCGGCCCCGGAGCCTTCCTGCGGCGTGGCGCTGCTCCGCCCGCTGCCCGACGGCTCCGAGCCCTCCGGCTCGCCGTGCCGCCCCGCCAGCCCCGACGGCTCGGCCGCCGCCGCCGCCGCCGCGGCCGCCGCCGCCACCACGACGGCCGTGGCCGCCGCCTTGGCCTGGCTCTGCGCCGGGTAGGGCGGCACGGGCAGGCTGCCGGCGGCCGGCCAGAACATGGGGAAGGACGGGTAAACGCCGCCGTCCTTGGCGGCGCCGGGCTGGTGGGGCGGCTGCGCCGGCTGGTGCGGGTGCGGGTGCGGCGGCCCCCAAAACATCCCCGACGGCAGCGCGCCGCCCTTGCCCGGCTCGCCGCCTCCCGCGCCGCCCAGCGCGTCCTCCTGCTTTTTGGGGCACAGTCCGAAAGCGGCGGCCGGGAAGCCGTACGGGTGAGGGAAGAGCGGCGGCGGCAGCTTCTGCAGCATGCCGAACCCCTTGCTGGGCACCGGGATCACCGGGTAGCTGCGCACCGCGCCCGCCCCGCCGTGCGCCCCCGCCGCCCCGCCGTGCGCCGCGGGCAGCCCCAGCGCTCCGCGCTCGCCCGCCGGCTCCTGGCCGCTGCAGCGCAGGCTCTTGTGCGCCGGGGCCAGCTCGGGGCCGGCGGGCGGCGGCGGGTGCAGCGAGGCCTTGGCCGCCGGCGAGCCTCCGCCGGGGCCGGCGGCGGGGGCGCCTTGCAGGGAGAAGGTCCGCTTGCGGGTGCCGCCGTTGAACATGGCCTTGACATCCTCCCAGGCGTGCGACAGCTCCTCCGTGGCCGTCTTGTCGCTGAGCTTGAGGTGGCGGCGCCACGAGTTGAAGTTGGCGGCGTCGGGCTGCGTGTACTTGGAGTCCGGGGTGCGGTGCGAGTGGAA